TATAGATAAGACACATAAGACAATGAAGTTTCATATATTTATTTATATATAACTAGCGATTCATATGAAAAGTCTCTAACGGATATTCAAAAAGCATTTAAAACAGACATTTAAAGCAATAAAATACAAAACACTTTCTCCTTGCTATTTATTACAAGACAAACACACAAAAAGTTAATTTAGATTTATATATATTATAAGTTTCACTCGTATTTTATACAGACTTTTATCGGTTTGTTTGCAATAAATCCCAGACTCAGCACAAAATAAACACAACTAGATACAGCCAGCACACAAAATTGACTGTACCAGTTGATTACCATCTGAGTAGTGACTTTTCATATGAATCGCTAGTTATATATAAATAAATATATGAAACTTCATTGTCTTATGTGTCTTATCTATAATACAATTTGTCATATGAAACAAAACTTCTTATATATTATATTATTTTCCATCACTTTTTTATTCAATATTAGTCTACTATAACCCATGGGCTTGTAATTTCCAAATATATATATATATATTACCCTGTATATTAGTTTTTACTATTTATTTCCTATTTACTACTTACAAACAAATATAACTTTCGTTTATTTTCATGTGTTTTATGCCAAACACACAAATCGATTGGCAATTCTTGTCGTAAATATATTTTTTAACGATCGATAGTATACTGTGTTTTTCAAAGTCATATCAAAAGCATTAAAAATACAATGAAATTAAAGTCTGGCTATAATTTGTTGGGGATTTGCGAGGGGAAAGTCGTTTAGCAGTAAAACTATCCTTCATTGTCACCGATATTTATATTTAAGGCCAGAATATTCTGGATACTATTTGAAGTGAACTGTAATTTATAGTCAAATAGTCTCAACATTTCGCACATTTTTTTCGGGTATTTGTCGACGAGAGAGACGAGAGAGAGAGAGAGAGAGAGACGACACATAAAATAAATGATACGTTAAATCTACTATCAATGCGTTAAATCTTAATGTTTTGTGTTCACAAAAATGTCTATAAACTGTGTGAATCTGCTATTTTCTGGTGACAATACTTATGCCATGAATTTCCAAGAATATTCTGTATTTATATGTTTCCGAGTGTTACACAAAATTCATAGAAATGTATATAAAAAATATCACATATTTTATTTAAAATCTACATTTTCAATCAGTATTATTTGCCAGAATCAAATTAATTTTCATTGAATATAAATATATTCAATCACCAATGTAATATAGCATTTTACAATAACTTTGACTTAAAATTTAATATATTTTTTCTCTCATATTTCATATCATCTAATATATCAACAAAATATACTAAACTCACGTTATTATCCGTCAAATTGAGTTATCATTCATTAAAACTCCTGTTATATCACAGAATATATACAGAATGTTCTGTCATATTGTGTGTATATATAGCCTACAAACAAAACACACATAACTATAGCATACATACCCATAGGCGTCGCGATTCCGTAGCCTTTATTATCGAGAAGTCCTCCGATTTGAGTCAAATTGCAGTCTCTCTGCACCATATAGTCTAACATTGTCTGCGAAATGAACATCAAGTTTGTGACAAATTTTATGACACGACTGATTAAAATGTCATCAAATAGATGGCCGACCATAATGTCAGTGCACTTACAGACTCCATAAGGAAGGCGTAGTCGCCCTCCAGTACCCGTTTCATCCCCTCCTCGTATTCAGTGACAAAAACGGAGGGATTTTTCTCCATAAACGACCACATCTTGCGATACGTATCGATCTTTGAGTCCTGTTTTTCATAGGGTTTATGATATCATTAATTAGGATTTCGTATGAATTTCTAGTTTTATATATATATTACACAGAATTATATACAGAATTTCGATACATAATTAGTATGTTTTACAGAATTCCTGTACGGAATTAGTATATTACACAGAATTGCATATTAATTGCTACTGAAATATACTAATCAAAGCTAGTGTTGACAATTAAATGACAAAAAATGTGAATACAATAATTTATATTCAAAATGTTGTCTACGATAATGATGTAATATTTTTCGCAAACAATACACAATTGTATTATAATTCACAACTTATTAACACTAATGAATAGTTAGGAAAAGCATTAATTGTATTATACAATCATGTAATCATATTATGATATCATACTATAAGTTACATAATGAATAATAAATTGTCAAAAATACGGGACAAAACTTGTAGTAATACTAGTGTCAAAACCATTACACAAACTTATAATACAATTTCAATAAAATAATTAAATATTGTTTTTCGCTATCTTTACGTCAAAAGATTATTAAATTTTCCGTTTAACCTATTCTTTCATATATTTCTCATACATCCGAAAAATTATTCTCAACTCATATTAGGCTGAAAAAATCAATTCATATATTATTATCAAATTCAATGTAATATTATATATAGAAAACGAGATATGAATTAAAAAGCATAAATTGTGATATAATTTCAAACTTGTCTAAACATTATACTAGTATTTAAATTGCAAAATTCAATTCAACACACATATGAATAGCAAATAAAAAATGTGAATACAATAATTTATATTCAAAATGTTGTCTACGATAATGATGTAATATTTTTCGCAAACAATACACAATTGTATTATAATTCACAACTTATTAACACTAATGAATAGTTAGGAAAATCATTAATTGTATTATACAATCATGTAATCATATTATTATATCATATTATAAGTTACATAATGAATAATAAATTGTCAAAAATACGGGACAAAAGTTGTCGTAATACTAGTGTCAAAACCATTACACAAACTTATAATACAATTTCAATAAAATAATTAAATATTATTTTTCGCTATCTTTACGTCAAAAAGATTATTAAATTTTCCGTTTAACCTATTCTTTCATACATTTCTCATACATTTGTTTTATATCCGAAAAATTATTCTCAACTCATATTAGGCTGAAAAAATCAATTCACATATTATTATCAAATTCAATGCAATATTATATATAGAAAACGAGATATGAATTAAAAAGCATAAATTGTGATATAATTTCAAACTTGTCTAAACATTATACTAGTATTTAAATTGCAAAATTCAATTCAACACACATATGAATAGCAAAAATCAATACTTATTTAATACATAAGACATTTTGATATGAAATTGAGTTAATTTATATTGATAATTTAATCACTCGTAGTGGAAAATTTATTCACAATGAGTGCACATTTAATACAAAAAACTTTGCTCTAAATTATGTAATAATTTCTATGAAAATCTAATTTTATGCTAAAATTTTAACATAATATAGAAATTCTTATGCTAACCATAAGCATACAAAATATTATACTTTATAATAATATTACAATGTAACTAGCAATTAAATTAAATTACGTTAAATTCTTAAAGAGTTTTAAGTACCATAGAAATTTTGCCTTGCTTACAAATTAGGCATATATTTTATGAATGCAAGTCATAATACATACGGTATTTTAAATAATCTATTGTTTAGGCAAAAATTTTTCGCAATAAATAATTGACCAAAAAATGTCTAAAAACTAATGGATTTTTAGTATAAAACTTAAGTTTATATTTCAAAAGGAATTATTATATGAGAAAAAACAAAGAATTCATTATTCATTTCGGGATAAAAATTTATATAAAATATTTTATCGACTAAACAAAGAAACTCAGAGAGAGAGAGAGAGAGAGAGAGAGAGAGAGAGA